GTAAATAAAACATTATTAGCACACAACTTTTAAACATCTTTTGACAGGTTTTAAATAAAATTGCCAATTCATGATAATAATCATCCTTAATACAACGTTAAAAAGTGAAAGCTTTTGTGCATTATGATTAAAAATTATCTTCTCATTAAAGTAATAATTAAGATCTGTTTTTTCGACATTAAAAGATATTAAATCTTTTCTTGCAAAACTAAAATTCTTCATATTATCAAGCAGTATTACAAAATGCTAAGCTCTTCTCATATTATAAATGAATAGAAATCATTTCGTGTAAATTGCACAGTGTGTTCAATCCAGTGAATTTATTATCAAAGAACAATTTTATTTCTTATTGAAAGAACAATTATTAAAAGTATAAAGTGAGGTTTGATCGATCCGACAGAATCAGAATTTTTTTATTGGTTTAAAAAATGAACTAAAACAACTAGTTTTGAAAAACAAACATATTTTCTGTTTGTGCTTCACTGTGCGTCAGTCTATAGAATTGTTAATTGTAACAAGCTCATCGCAGTTCGTGTTGTAACGATGCAATCTATGGATATTTTTAATGTGTTTTTATTTTACAATGCTGGTACCTTCACTTTTGTTTGAAAAGTATTCGTTATGTAAACCATCCTGCACACAACTTAATAATACATAATGGGCATTATTTAAATGTTGAACGTTTTGTTTTTAGTGTTGTTTTAATTTTTAATGGGTGTATGCTTCTTATATTAATTTAAGTGTTTCAAAAAAACTTAGTATTTATTTATCTTAAAAAAAATAAAAGTTTTATACTATTATTATTATAATAATATTTTTGTCATTAGTAATATGTCCTTGATCACAAGAACTTTCTGTAAATTCAATTACCAAATAATTATTTGTTATAATTTTTAATGATCATTTTAACTGCAGCGATGATGGCAGAATTTTGAAACGATATTTTAGTTAACTTAACCTAAATACATAACAAAATTTATGTAATTTTTTAATAATATGTTACTAAATTGGCCAATTTGACTGCCTAATATATAAAAGTACGCTTTTGTAGGTAGTTTTACATCCAAATTAGAAAAAAATCAGGCTAAAGTTAGCAACAGGTTTTTAGTCACGGGCTGAAGTTAGTTTTAAGGTAATTGACAGTCAAATTTCACACAATAAAGTGCCTTTCTTGTAAGATAATACTAATGTGAAAATTATTTTATCATTAATACAAAAATACAAAAGTATTAAACGGTTTCTTGACGCCAATATTTTAAAAGATTGTATGAACGTTTGTACTAACCTTTTGATATCGCCGTAGTAATGCAGTTAACTAGATTTAAATGATAAAGCGTTAAAAATCTGCGTACAGTGCCCATACAACATTCTCTTCTCTTTTACTGTGAAAAACTGCTTCTATATCGATTGTTAGACTATTTTCAGTATTAGTCGTAGTAAAAGTATATATATATATATATATATATATATATATATATATATATATATATATATATATATATAGTATACTATTAAAATTGATAGAAATTGAGGTTATACATTTGACAGATGTGCGATTTTATTTATCTATTTTTAAAAATCATCATTTAATTATCCACTTATTGAAGTATATAAAGTATAGTATTACACTCGAGATTATGTATAATAATAAGCTATTATTAAAAAAAAATTAAAATTTGTCATAATTCGGGTTCGTCGTTTTACGCCTGTTGGTATCTCCAACAATTTTAACAATATAAACCGCGAAATCGACACCAATTTCAGCCGGAAATAAATCATTTATTAATATGAATATAACCGCAAATATTTGGTTTACGTGACATAAATTTCTTAACGACGCTGCCAATGATAAACTATAAATAATGAAACGCTCACCTTTTAAAAAACCGCTAAAGAATTGTTATGGCAACACTGCGGAGCATATTATTATGAATAAATAATTGTGTAGATGTAAAATTAGGTGAGTTTTATTAGATTAAGCTGTTACTAAAGGTTCCACTCTGTTTGTCTTCACTTAATGGTAGGTACAATACAATTTGTTTAAATATAGTTTTTTATGGTTAACTAAAAGAAATGTTAGTGTGATTTTAATAGTTTAATATTACAGTGAGTTTTAGAATGCATTTATTTGGTTGTTATATTATGTTTGATAATAAATATTTTGAGGATGGTTTTGACATTTTACATAATTTTTTGTTCTTTACAAGTAATAGGAACATATTAAACAAAGTAAGTGAGAGGGAGTCATAGGCGATTCTATAAGTATGAGAGAGGGTAGATATTGTAAGAGAAAAATCTAGGCACTCTTGTTCTACTTTATAAAGTAGAACAAGAGTATATATATATATAATAAAAAAATGTTTTGATCGTTACAATTTTTTTTTAATTGGAGTTAAATGTTACAAAAAGTCTCTCAATTTTTTTTTATTGTTTTTTTCTAAAAAGGCAAACAAAAATTGAAGTCAATATTTTGACATGGCCATATTTAAACAACTTTCACCAAAAGTCCCGAGTTGACCAAATTTGTCATTTAGGAATTATTATTTTTTTAATAATAATGCCATATTCTAGTAAATTCGTGGTCCTTCGCAAAAAATTGGTTTTGGTTATGAAACTGACCTATCGCCGACGGTGGTCTAGTGGTTAGTGCTGCTGACTACAAGCCGGAGGTCGTGGGTTCGAATCCCACCAGGGGTATGGCTGTTTATTTGTGTTGTCCTATTGTGTAATAGTCCTTCGGAGGGGACTTTAAGCCCGCGGTCCGTTCCTACTCCTAACCCGCACAAGTCATTCAGTTGGCTTATGGGACTTCTTAAAGATTTTAGAGTAAAATAGAAATTCTTAATATTTTTGCATGTGTTACTTTTAAAAGATACAAAAAGTATACATTAGGGTGGTCGTTAAAAATTAAATTTTTGCGACGCCCCACAAAAAGCTTCGTTTTGATAAAAACACTGGGAATTTTTTTTTTTAATTTATAAACAACACGTGCGTCAAGACGATCTAAGTTAATTTTTTGGTATAATCATGTCTTTTCTGAAAATATGGAATAATAATTTTTTTGAGATTTAAAAATTATTAACAATGAAATAACTTCAATATGGAGTGAAGAAATCTAGATATTAAAATTCCGTTTGTACTAATTTAGTTTTGAAATAAAAATATCAATTTGAATATCTTTCGTTTTTTTATTTAATATACTAAATCAACTGAGAAAAATTTTAAATTTTTGTCTATTGTTATTTTGATTAACTATTGTTTTTTATTGATTTGGGTTCTATAATTGTTTATTTCTCGAATAAAACTTTATTTTTCATAAAAAATTCCCAAAAAAACATGATTACCTATACCAAACAATTAACTTAGATCGTCTTGAGGCACGTGTTGTTTTAAATTAAAAAAAAATGTCCAGTGTTTTTTTATCAAAACGAAGCTTTTTAGAAGGCGTCGCAAAAAATTTAATTTTTAACGACCACCCTAGTATACATAAGTTAATAATAAAAAGTAAGCATTACACAAGAAACTTATAAAAACGCGATTTCAATAAATTCCGAAAAATTTTGGTCGGTTAACAGATTTGAGTGAGGCAGTCGCGAAACTCTTTTTGACTAAGGCTTTATCAGGAAGGGAAATAAGTATTAAGCCTAAGAGGTTCAGAAAATAATGCGCAGGTTAATTATATTTAGAAATAACAATTTTCATTTAATTTCATATTTCGTTTTTTATTTATTGCCAGAGATTCCCTACAATGGCCTCACTATTCAAATATTTGAATGATTTTATTTAGTAGTTTTAAAACCAAAAAATGTTGAGTAATTACTTACACGCCTTTGATTCTAACATCCTTAATTTTTTATAAATATAAATATACAATTTTACAATGCATTTTTGACAAAAAAAAAACAAACTAAAGGAGATTGGATAGTTTGAAAAATAAATAACAGTGAATTAAGGTTTAAAACTGTCAAACTTGTGTGTTTCTAAAGTTGGCAGCGTGAAATTTGTAACGTCAATTTTAAATAGTGTTAAAATAGAATATTATGTATCAAGTTTTATAAACGCCATTTTAGTCATAAGTGCCTAAAAAAGTTTATAAACGTGTTGGATACTTTTTCTACTACAAACTTTATATTATCTAAAAATATATTTAAATTAAATATTTGAATAAAGCGACATCTATACGTAAATAAAGTAACCATCCCAATAAACATTTTTGGCGTAATTTACACCATTAAAATTGCCCGTTATTATTTTAATTAAACTATTATTAAAATATTAAAATAACTTAAAAATATGATTACGTTAAGAACATATTGTTAACTTTAATTTTTTTATGACTATAATTGCAAAATATTATCACAAAGATTTAAAAATTCATACACGGGAAATGGTACAAAAAGGGACAGTTGTATTAATTGGAATTCCCGTTAGAATTTCTAACTTGGGAATCCACTGGCGTTAAAATCTTAAATTTTTCTGTGTAACTCAAAATTTATTCCTTAAAAATAGACTAACAATCGATATAGAAGCAGTTTTTCGCAGTAAAAGAGAAGAGAATGTTTTATGGGCACTGTACGCAAAATCTCTCTATCAGTTTAATCTATTTAACTGCACTAAAAGGTCAGTACAAAGGTTCATATAATCTTTCTATAGCTATATGCTATAGCAAAAAGTATTGGGACATTCCAGTCTAGTAAATCTATTTATACGTTTTTTTTCTAAGGTTCTTTGGAAGGTTTATTTTGTTGTATGATATTTAAAAAAATACTTTAGTTGGGTTGTTAACATATTTTATTATATTTTAAATGCTTTGAATTGGTTTTTAAGATATCATGAACAAATTGTTATAATACATTAAATATTTTAAAATATAAATAAACCGTAATCAAAAAACTTTACAGATGAAAAACCGCAAAAATAGCTTATAGACTAAAGAATACCTCCTATGAAAACGTCACTATTTCCACAAAAATCACTGAACACTTGTCACCTCGACTAAAATGTGGGCACATCCGCATAAAAATCGTGTCAGACCGGCGCGCGTTAATCTTAAAGGCAACAAATCCTCTGAAACCGTTACAATCAGCCACCTGTTACCGTCTCTCTCGCGCATCGAAGAACGAAGAAAGACAGAGAGAAGAAAGACTGAAGACTTACCAGCAGTTTAATCCGTATTGAGCCGCAACGAAGAATCACTTTGAATGAACTGAGGTGCAGATGCGGCGCGCTCGTTTATAGTCGGCCTACATCCCCACAACTTTGTAACCTACATTGGCCGGCTGCCCCACAGCGGTCCCCCCTTCGCCCCCCTTGCCGCCCCGCACGACCCGCCGGCTTTTTCGACGACGTGCAGCAAGTGATGAGCAACGTGACATTTGACCACTATCACTATCGTATGACTCGGGGTCTGCTCATGAAAAGTGAGTTTGAATCAAGGATCTTCAATTTTCGTTCAGTTACTCTTAAGATGAGATTTCTGAATTCATAGACAACTGTATTAAATTTATAAAGAAAAAGTTATCTTGATTAAAAGTTTTTTCGTCATGAAATAAATCTGTCATTCCATTGGAGCATAATTTTCTATAAATGTGCTATATATACGTATACGTATACGTTATCCAAGATAGTTGGATTGGTTTTTCTAATGGGTATGTTTAAGACAATTTTCTATAATTTGTTGGAAACAGTAAGATTTTGTATTTAAGCATTTGCACAATATTGTCATAAGTAATAAAGGGTGTCCACTTAAGAGTGCTCTAACTTTAAAATGAAATAAAACAAACTACAGTTAAGATATTAGGAAAAAAATATATTTATTTAAAAGAACATCCTATGGCATTAATTATGAAAAATAACATCTTTCAAATGCCCCCGCGGCTGCGCTCCATAGCGCGCATTCTGCAGGTCAAATTTTCACTTTTTCGCACATTTCGGGTTCGATTTCATTTATTATACGAGTAATGTTGGCCTTCACTGCTTCAATTGTTCGTGGCTTATTCACGTATACAAGGGACTTTACGTAGCCCCACAAAAAAGTCCAGCGGCGTTAGATCGCATGATCTCGTTGGCCACTGGATAACGCCGCCGCGTGAAATGACGCCGTTGAAACGTTTGGCGAATTAAACATTAATTTTGTTGGTAAATTTGAATAATTTGAATGCGTTGAGCAACCGTGTAACGCTCCATTATCAAATGTCATAATATGCCAACAAAACTTCAAAATATTTGACAGCTGTGTCTGTACTGACTTAGCCATAAGGGTCTCCTTGATTCATGGCTATAAATCCCCCAAAGTCAAAAAAAAGGGTAAGGTCTCCCCTGTAATACAAGAAAAGATAGACAACCTCCTAAGCAAACCATCCATAGCTGAAAAAAGAGCCAAAAGCAAAGAATTAGACAAGCTTAGGGAAGAAAATAAGCAACTCTTATCCCTGGTAGAGACTCTTACCAGCCAATTGGCTAATCAATCGACCCAGATCCAAGGCCTCCAACACCAACTTGAAGTCCTAACTGATGTAATAAACAGAGACAGGAATATACCTACGATCATCACTCCTCAAGACATTCCTACCATGGTTACTCCATTGACCAAAGAAATGGAAGAACTGGAAGAAATGGACGATACAGAGTCCATCTCCACACTGACTCGTGCAGACCATGATAATGAAGTTGTCATAACCTCCCCAACAATGAAAGGTAACACCAAGACTGCTGAACAATTTCCGGCCTTGGAGTCTCCAACTCTGACAAACTCTGCCAAGAGGAAAAGATCCTCAAAAGATTCTCCAAGTCCTGGCCCGTCAGCATTTTTAACCGGGTATAAACCTCCTAGCTGCCCGACTCCTCAAGATCAACCCCAAGCTCCTAAGATATCAGGTCCAAGCTCTACACAAACAGCTGGAAATGACAAGGTACAAACCGTAAAGCCATTAAGCGCGAAAATCCCCCCAATTGTGTTTCGCAAAAAGGAGAGATGGACCATGATATCTAAAGAAATAAATGCAAACAAATGGGGCTTCACTAAAGCGACCAACACAGCCGAGGGTATAAAATTCTTCCCGTCCACCATTGAGAGCTACAGAAAGATTTCAGCCTTCCTCTCACAGAACAAAGAGGAATTCCACACTTACATGTTACCAGAGAACAAACTACTACAAGTAGTCATTCGTGGAATTCCCTCTGAAATCGACATCAAGGAGGTGGAAGAAGAACTGAAGTCCCTCGGCTACACTCTGTCGGGCATCACCAGGATGAAAAAAGGTCCAAAAAGAATACCTATGCCCCTTATCTTACTGAAGCTACCAAGAGATCAAAACAGCATCTACAAACAAGAATACTTATGTAGCATGAGAATCAAAGTCGAGACCTTGGCCAAGAACGGCAGTATTACACAATGCTACAGATGTCAGAGATTTGGCCACGGTCAGAGCAATTGTTCAGCGGCCTTTAAGTGCGTGAAGTGTGGTGAAGACCACTCCTCCCTGGAATGTCCCAAGGAGATAACTACAGAACCGAAGTGTGCCAACTGCGGTGGAGCTCACACAGCCAACGCAATGATCTGCCCTAAGAACCCTAACGCAGCCAAAAAAGAGACCCTTAATAAAGAAAATGCAAACCCTGTGAGACAAAACCGCTCTTACTCCGCAGCTGTATCACAACCAACCAAGACAGCTCCTCAGCAACCAAACAATGACCTAACCAGACTAATGCAACTTATGCTAAATAGGCTTGATAGTCTTGAGGCTAAGTTTGCATCCCAATTCATCAATTATGACAACGATTTTTTCCAGAACGAAAATGTCAATTAAAATAAAGCCCAAGTCCCTTAAGCTTATCTCATGGAATGCTAACAGTCTTCTGCATAAAAAACTGGAACTCGAACTCCTGGCCCATGACGAAAAAGCAGATGCCCTATTGATATGTGAATCTAGGTTAAAGGAGGACGTAATTCCAAAAATAGCAGGCTTTACTGGTTATTCAGCCCCTAGACCGAATAATCAGGGTGGCGGAGTGGCAATTTACATTAGGGACCATATTGATCATTGCTTTACCCCCGTTGGAAACACTGCAATCCTAGAATCTTGCTCTGTTATGATTAACACTGCCTTTGCGGGTACTATCAAGGTTGGTGCAACATACTACCTAGGGTTGCCACCTTTTAAGCTTGGGGTTGGAGGACATAAAAAAGCCCGCCACGAAAATTTTTCCAAAAAAAAGGGGGCATTATCAAAATCAAATCAAGTTCAACAAAAATGACCAAGGACCAATTCCTTCCAATATTAACTTTATTAACTGGAACATTAAACTAATAACTATTATACCTACCTAAATAAATACATTTTTATAACAAAAACAAAACAGCATTGCAGTCAGATAAAAATAACATAGTAAATAATATTTACTATGATATTTTTATCTGACTAATTTAAATTAAAAATAACCTTTTATGATTTAACCATTACAATTTATAAATCTATGAAACACCGAATCTGCGGATTCAATGTTGTGATTCATGATTATATAAAATAAGCAAGGCAGGCTCAAGAAAACAACAGATTACAGTAAAATAAATCAATAATGTGACAACGCAACAAGCAACCGTCTGCTATCTGCAATAAAATACATAGAAAGGAGGACATATTTCATTTAAAGGAGGACGAAGGACATGATCTTATCAAAAGAGGACTGTCCTCCACAAAGGAGGACGGGTGGCAACCCTAATACTACCCCCCGGGTAAGCCTTTCCACGACAATGACTATAGAACCGTCATGAGTGATGATGTCCCAATCATAATGGGAGGCGACCTTAACGCCAAACATCCCGACTGGCACTCCAGAGTCACTAACAACAATGGGAAAAAACTGGCAACTCTTTCCCAGAGGAATTACTGGGATATTATAGGACCCACGGAACCCACGTTCTTTAGGGGTGACTCTAGGCCGGATGTGCTTGACGTCTTTATGATGAAGGATATCCACCACAACTCCACCATAACTACTTCGCATGTTACCTCTTCGGACCATAATCCCGTCATTCTCACAATAGGACAAAACGAACAAATAACTTCATATACCGTCAGAGGTAGAACAAACTGGTCCAGGTACGTAGAAATCCTCAACAACAAGCCCGTCATTCAACAACAGCCCAACAACTCTGATGGAATAAACCAAAGAGCAAAGGATTTCACAAAGATGATTTGCGATGCTATATCGGAAGCTACGGACAAAACAAACCACCAGTCAAAGTGTCCTTATATGCTACCTGACAGACTCAAGAGGCTAATAAGCCAAAAGAGGCAGGCCAAAAAGACTGCAGACAGGACATGCCACCCATTAGACAAAGCGACGTTCAACCGCCTAAAGAGACAACTTTCAGAAGAGCTGAATGCTTTCCACAAGTCAAAGTGTCCTTATATGCTACCTGACAGACTCAAGAGGCTAATAAGCCAAAAGAGGCAGGCCAAAAAGACTGCAGACAGGACATGCCACCCATTAGACAAAGCGACGTTCAACCGCCTAAAGAGACAACTTTCAGAAGAGCTGAATGCTTTCCACAACTCCAGATGGGAGGATAAGCTAAGCTCTCTGGAAGTTGGATCTAGAGACTTCTGGAGAACCATTAAAGCCCTGGGTCCTCAGAACAAAAAAGCTGTCCATCCACTCCATGGGCCAAATGGTCTGGTATACTCGCAGGAGGACAAAGCAGAACTCTTTGCAGAAACTCTTGAGACACAATTTTCTCCAAACCAAGCAAGTGACGATTATGAGGATGAAGAAGAGGAAGTACGACTTTCCTATCGATCGACTTTGGAAACACCCATCCTGCATGAAATTAGATTGACCTCATATGATGAACTTAAGGCAATCATTGCATCGCTAAAAGCAAGAACCTCACCTGGCCCTGACGGTATTACGAACAAAGCACTAAAACTACTCCCTGAAACAACTTTGAGACAATTGGTTGATTTAATGAATAGTGTCCTTACTCTATGTCACTTCCCCACCAGCTGGAAACAAGCCTCGGTAATAATGATTCCGAAGGGTATAGAAAACCCCATACACACATCGAGCTACAGACCTATTTCCCTTTTATCTACCATAGCCAAAGTAGGTGAAAGGGTTATTAAAGAGAGACTAGAGGAGGAGATTGAGGCAAACGAAGTTCTACCGGATGAACAGTTTGGTTTCAGAAGGTGCCTTTCCACTGAGCTCCAACTCTTAAGGATTACAGAGGCATTCCACGCAAATATGGACAACAAAATGAAGACCGGCCTAGTGCTGTTGGACCTTGCAAAGGCCTTCGACAAGGTCTGGCACAAAGGCTTAATTGCCAAGATTAATGAAGCAGGCATAAAATCTGACCTTTCAAAGCTAATACAGTCATACCTGCACAACAGGGAGTTCTCGGTTAAAGTTCAAAACAGCGTCTCAACACCAAAAAAGATAAGGGCAGGGGTACCACAGGGCTCTGTCTTAGGACCTGTCCTGTTTAATATATACATGGCAGACATTCCCTTTATCCAACAAGTAAAATATGCGCTGTATGCTGACGACACGGCCTTTTATGCGGCCAGCAGGAATGACTCTGTTCTACAGAAATGGCTTCAACTTGCGCTGGATGAAATTGAGGAATGGGCTGACAGGTGGCGAGTGAAAGTCAATCCAGCCAAAACACAAGCAATCATCGTATCGAAGGGAGGACGCACTCTGCCAGCCAACCTCAACTATGGGGGTATCAACATAAACTGGGCAGATAACGTTAAATACCTTGGGGTTACCATCGATAAAAAGCTAACGTGGCGTCCCCACATTGAGACTATAAGAGCCAAAGCCCTGAGAAGACTGGAAACAATAAATACCTCCACCCATCCAAGAAGTCACTTAAGTCTAAAAAACAAAAAACTTATTTGGACATCACTGATTCGACCATCCTTATCGTATGCTGCTGCTGCCTGGATGACTGCAGCCAGGACTCACATAGCCAGGCTTGAGGTTATTCAGAATAAATTCCTTAGAAGAATAACTGGAGCTCCGTGGTTTGTACGAAATTCAATAATTGCCAAAGACCTGAAAATAGACCCAATGAGAAAGTACCTTACTGCCAGGGCTGCAGCAACAGTGGAAAGATGTGCCAATAATGAGAATCAGCTGGCAGCGGCTTGCGTAGATTATGATCCTGATGATAGACGGAAATACAGGGGAGTGCTCGGCATCACAGAACTCGATCCTGGCTAACTCCCATATCCTCATCCTAACCTTCCACTCTCCAACGTTGATGTGATATTGTATATAATTTTTAACTTAACTATTTATAACTTTAGGATTGAAAAGATGGAGCTCTGGTCAAAAAAAAAAAAAAAAAAAAAAAAAAAAAAGAAAAAAAAAAACATAATGAAAAAAATATACATAGACCAAAAAAAAATAAAAATAAAAAGATACCAACTCCCAAACTTAGGACCAATAAACACCTCCATGTGAGTAATCAATCTTTATATTATGCTTGTAGATTCAATCGGCAAAAGTGCCTTATTCTTTGTTTTTAACCTAGACTAGTATTATTTATTGTGTTTTTATTCTTACTTTTACCTTTGCCTGTACATACTATTTCTTTTACTCTTGCTTTTACTGCTTGGTTTTTTTATTCTCGCCTTTACTGCCTATTCTTTTTATTGTGATTTATTTTATTTTATTTTTGTACTTATACTCTGTGCTTTTGTATATATTGTATTTATATTGCTTTTATTTGATTGTGCATGTACCTTATGACTAATTATTAATTTTAAAACTATGTTTTGGCACTAATGCCTGAAATTATTGTTTATACACATGCAGGATATTTTGTTAACTAACCTTGCTTTTACTAACTTAGCACGTAAGCGCGATTTTTGTCACCGTTTTAGACTTGCTTGTAATACTAATGCTTTATATTATGATAACTATTTTCAGCAATCCTTATATGCAGACAATGTTCAGTGCCCAACTTATTATAGTTGGTGCACAGTCATTCCCCTGCTATAGAATTGCATTGGCCGCTGGCGTCCTTTCATTCTTAGTATCACCTTCAGTGCACTACTTACTTAAGTAGTTTCCCTTTCCCTTCCTCTTTTGACTGAAACAGCTTATTGTTTTCACTACCACTCCCAAACTCATTTCTATTTCTTTCTCTTGACGAGTATGAGTCTAAGGTCCCTTGTGACCGACTCTTGCTCGGACTAAAAGTCCAGCATTTTATCAGGCCTACACTATCCTCGCTTAGCCATAGCCGCCTATCAAACATCGAGCGTACCTAATTGGACACCCTTTATCATAAGGGGATCTAATTTTTTCGAAAAAAAATCGAACAAACCCGTTGCTAAGTAATATTTTAACAAGAAGCATGAGTGCTGGTGGCAACAAAAATCCGAGTCGAAGACGAGGATTTTTGCACCTGCACGAATGCATTTTGTTAAAAAATATTACTTAGCATTGTGTTTTTCGATTTTTTTCACAGGAAAAATTAGATGCCCGAATGGTATTTGACAAGACTATTTCATGAGTAATAGTTATTCTGCATACAACAAAACATTCTACCTATTATACATGCATATGTACATAATAAATATGTAAGTATTAATTTGAAAACTGAAAAAAAGGTAATTTATTTAATCACTAAATACTAAAAACTTAATTATTTATGGTACAATTAAAATATAAATTGCAATTTTTGTTGACAACAGTTTTGCCGCGGGTAAACTCGAAAAAACTGCCGTCATACAGTTTTTCCACCTAGAAACCATTTGTAATTCAAAATTGCGCGTTTGTGATTGGTGGAAATTAAGACGAGGAAAAAAGTCACCCATAATATAACAAGTGGTATAATTATCATCGATGATATTTTCGTAAGTAATATCATAAGGGCATCTAATTTTTCCGAAAAAAATCGAAAAAACACGTTGCTAAGTAATATTTTAACAAGAAGCATGAGTGCTGGTGGCAACAAAAATCCGAGTCGAAGAGGAGGATTTTTGCACCTGCACCTGCACCTGCACCTGCACCAATGCATTTTGTTAAAAAATATTACTTAGCATTGTGTTTTTCGATGTTTTTTCACAGGAAAAATTAGATTCCCGAATGGTATTTGACAAGACTATTTTATGAGTAACAGTTAACAATTAAAATATAAATTGCAATTTGTGGTGACAATAGCTGTCAAGTTTTGCCGCGGGTAAACTCGAAAAAACTGCTGACAGGTGCTGTCACACCGTTTTTTCACTTAGAAACCATTTGTAATTCAAAATTGTGCATTTGTGATTGGTGGAAATTAAGACGAGGGAAATAGTCGAATTGAAACCGAGCTGCAGATTTCACGAGTCCGCAGGACGAGTGAAATGTGTTGCTTCTGTTTCAATGAGTAAATATTATCGATTATTAATCATACCACGAGTTATATTTAGTGAGGAAATATAATGAATTTTAGGATTTAAAAAATTGTCAGTTTGACATTTAAAATTAAAATGTGCTTTAAAATATAAAAAGACTTTAATAAGCCTTATTTATTCAAACTTACCTTAATTTCATTATCGTTTACACCAACCCATCGATCTTTTAGAGTTTATAATTCATTATTTTAATGATATAACAAACACAGGATTTAAATGTCAACAAATGTTAAATCAAGAAAAGTGTCAAAATCCTTAGTAACGTGTAAACAAGGTGATAAAAAATATTGTCGCTGGGATAAAATGCGTAACTATGAAATACTGGCATTTTATTAGTTCTAATATTAATGAATTGTATTGTCAAGAAAAGAGTTGAAATTTGTTGTTAAAAATATTTCAAAAATTACTCTTTTGTACAATTTTTAAAATATTTCGTTTAAATATAGTATAACTGAGTAGGAATATAAATTTTACAATATTGGACAATTTGTTCGAGATTGAAGCATCAGACCACCGAAGATAACCAATGAAATGATTTTCCGATTGAAATAAGAAGCCGGCCGGTCGCTTAAATGCAATCTGCATTATCAGTTTGAAGTTAGGAAGTGTATCATTGTAAGGTTAGTACCACATTTCTGGTGAGTAATTAGGTATTGAATATTATTTTTTATTTTTTAAATGGTATTTGCAAAATTGTTCGGGGACTGGGATAAATCAATAATTATTGATCAGCTTACTATTTACTTTAGTTTGTACTTTATGTTTATTTTATGTTTTCAGTTTATATTAACTTAATTCTATTCTTACAAAATTTTGTGTTGGTAGCTGAATACACCTTTAATCTATCGACATTAAATGTCGATAGATTAAATGTGTATTCAGCTACCAACACAAAATTGTGTACTATTATAAGTGGCAGTGGCGGCTGGTGGATTTTGGGCACACCCATATCTCAGTTATTAGACATGGGACCCACATCAGTACGACAAAATTTGATTTTTGGTCCCTCCCATGAAAAATTTCTACAGATTCTAAAAATAGAGTTAAAAAAATGATACCCGTGTCTCGGCGTTTTTTCACATCACGTCATAATTTTTTTTAAGGGCTATCCAAAAAAATGTTATTTACACTATTCGCGACATAATTTAATAGACTCGATAACAGCTGGACTGCATAGTTAAAAATATATATATTTACTAAATGGATAGGTAACCATTATAGATGCATTTTAAAATTATTTTAATCTTAAACAGAGTTTTGCATATATATCAAACGGTTTATTTTTAAACCAAGTAACAAAATGTTTCAATTTTAAGCCAATCAAAATGCTTTAAAGTCGGGTGATTAAAATTTTTATTTATTCAATTTTTTGTAAAAATTGAGCTTTGTTGAATTAACATTTAAAAAAAAAATTAAAAGATATTTAAATGAATTGATTTAAGTCTTAAAGCAAGTGTACCTAAAAGATATTTAATTTAAGTAAAAAAAGTATTTAAGTATACGAAGTCAATTGAAACAGCAAATGCCATGCACTTAATTGATTGCACCCTATATTTATTACTGTTTCAATTGACTTCGTATAGACTATACTTAAATACTTTTTTTTTTAAATGTTAAATAAAAACATTATTGCAGCGATAAATCGATAAATTTTTCATATTAATTTTGATTGTTGAGTTAACCATCCATTTGAAATCAAAGTAAAAATGCAGTGTCCGAATCGAAATAATTTTTGTTATGTATGTGGTTTATTTGCACCTCCAAGCCATATGCGAAATATTACAAAAAGTGTAGTAACAGCTTTTGAAGACTAATTTTTGGTGACGTATATATACCAAACTTATGGTATGTACCAGAGGTTTTATGCGATTATTGTTACCGTTGTTTGTATGGATTGCAAGATAAAACACACAGTATGAAATAAGTTGCACCAACAATTTGGCTTCGACCCGTCGCGACGTACCGAACACGCATCTGACCAGTGTTATTTCTGCATGTCAAAATTAAAAAGTTTTGGATTTCGGTACAATACTAGATATGTATGTGGTTTATTTGCACCTCCAAGCCATATGCGAAATATTACAAAAAGTGTAGTAACAGCTTTTGAAGACTATTTTTTGGTGACGTATATATACCAAACTTATGGTATGTACCAGAGGTTTTATGCGATTATTGTTACCGTTGTTTGCATGGATTGCAAGATAAAACACACAGTATGAAATATGTTGCACCAACAATTTGGCTTCGACCCGCCTCGCCTCCCTCCAACGCGCGACACAGTAGCTAATGAGATTTTTTGCATTATTATCATTTAATTTTTTAAGTCCTTACCTGCTCGACCTTTCGTTATGTCGTTTATTACACAAGCAACTGTGACGCGCCTTGGAGGGAGGCGAGGCCACGCCCCATATATATATGGATATATTCGGTTTTATTCTAAACAGGCTGTATGTCACTGAAAATACATTTTCTCCATGCTCATTTGGACTATTTTCCACCAAATTTGGGCGATTTTAGTGACGAACATGGCGAACGTTTTCACCAAGACATTTTAACAATTGAAAAACGCTTCAAGGGAAAAGACGTCAGGCATTTGCTGGGTGAATATTGCTGGTCAATTGTTCGAGATTCTGAAGCAATATACAGCCTGTTCAGAATAAAACCGAATATATCTATATATATATGGGGCGTGGCATCGCCTCCCTCCAAGGCGCGTCACAGTTGCTTGTGTGATAAACGACATGACGAAAGGTCGAGCAGGTAAGGACTTAAAAAATTAAATGATAATGCAAAAAAGCGATGCAGTCTATTTGCTTAGCTACTGTGTCGCGCGTTGAAGGGAGGCGAGGCCACGCCCCATATATATATATAGATATATTCGGTTTTAGTCTGAACGAGCTGTATAATCGTCAAACTAAACGACCAAGATTTTATTCCAACATGTATTGAATATAAGATAAATACAAAAATGTGTTTCATTAAAAAAAAATAATAAAAAATTATTTAAAAAAAATCAAAATATAAACTTTTTTATATTTGTTTTTTGTATTGTGTAAAAACATACAATATTTACAAAAAAATATATTTTTAACCGAGTAAAAAATGTACAATCTGTATAAGCATAAATAATAGGAA